GGTTAATTAATTAATTTTTTTATATATATTCATATTATTATATTGTATTTCTATAGTATATATGTAGTTATGTATACCTGATATTATAATGCATTGTATTTCTATTATTATATTGCATTTCTATATTATAATTGTTATATTATATATTATAGGCAATATATGAAGTAATTACATATACTAGATATTATAATGTATTTTACTTATACTATTATATTGTATTTCTATATTACATATTATATGCAATATAATATGTAATTATGTATGCCCGATATTATATCATGTTTCTATATTATAATGTGTTCTATGTATGCCAGATATTATAATGCATTTCTATTATTATAAGGTGTTAGGTTATATAATATATATAATACATGAAGTAATTATGTATGCCAGATATTATAATGCATTGTATTTCTATTATTATATTGTACTTCTATATTATAATGTGCTATACTATATATGTAATATAGAATGTAATTACGTAAACCACACATTATAGTGTGTTGTATTTATATTTCACTTTTAATAAGTTTATTGACAATCAATTAAGTAATTAATTATTGCGCTCAGATATGCAATCAACAGTGAGGGAAACCCCTGGTGTACTGGTACAGCAGGTGGGCACCCAAACCATCCTCCCCAACCATTTTTTTTTCGTTTCAGGGCACAGCTCACATGTGACATATTTAATTTGATCGATGCAGAATTGAAAATTCATCACTAAACAAATCGAATAAACCCTGAAGTGTTGCTTCCAAAGGCAGTTCCTCACCAAAAGTTAATTGCAAAACCATAATTCACTTATTTCAAGCTGCCTCCCAGCACCTCAGCAGACAGCAGAGCTACACACCCCAAAGCACAGCCTCAGCTGCCTCCTGGAATGTGGAAGGCTCCTTGGGAAGGGGTGGAAACCACCACATCAATAACATGATCCCAGCAAGAAACACACCACGGGCTTCTCAAGTGAACATTTCACCTCAGAAGCTGGGGAAGCACCCTGGAATGAAAATAAGGACTAGAATATTCACAAGATTTGGCAAGATCATTTCTTTGTTCCCAATAAACATTCTGACAGCTGAGCTGCTTCAGTTCTCCACACACGGCCCCACATTTTGCCACTGGAGCAGGGCATCTGCAGTACCCACAGCCACAGAAAATCTCTTCCCTGAGCTGCAATTTCAGGACAGCTAAAGCAAATTCATTAGAAAATTAGATATTATAACGTATCTATCAATCTCTTTTTCAACAACACTGAAATGTGAGGTTTCCTTAACTGATAATCCCTGGACTTGAAGCCACGAGCTCAGCCTGCTCCTCAATGCACAGCCTGATTTTTCAGAAGGAGAACATGCCATTTGCTTGAAAGGAGAGAGCAGCAGTCACAGACATCAGCTTAAATCAAACCAACCGATCAACCAACACCCTCAGATTGGGAGGGCAGTGCAACACATTCCACAGGATTGGCACTTTCCTGGATGAAATCCAAGGTACAAAGGAGCAGCCCAGTCCTTTCCTCCAGCTAAGCTGAAACTTTCTTCATGTTACGTGCAGCAAACCACTTGTCACTGTTGTCTGCAGCCATGGCCTGCACAAAGACAAGTGTGAACATGGTCAGAGCAGTGGGAAAGCTATTTTGATGGATAAATTATTTTTTTTAGCTACTAGTAAGGAGAACAGACACTGAAAACCAATGCTCTCTGGTACAGCAAATAAATAATGATTGGTTAACACATGGATCAAACCAGGACAGTTTGGACACAGCCTTCCCACAGAGCTCACATTCTATCCCAGGGAACGTCCCTCTGCCTCCAGGGGATGTCCAGCTGCACTGATGCTACTGCACCTCAAAAATCACTTTTTGCAGTAACTTACATCAAAGTGTTGTTGGTGTGTCCAGCAAAAAACACCATCACCCAGCTGCCCAGAGAGTGAGGCTGGAAAACTCCACACAGGGCACTAAGTGAGCTTTAAAAACTGATTTATTTTCCTTACCAAGCCTGGGAAATTTGCTTCTTGTTAAAACTCAACATGGCACGAAAACTAAGATTCTACTGGTATCTATAAACAGGAAGAAAATGAATATGCAGGCAGAATTACTTACATCATCCAACAGCTTGTCACCGTTAGGGTCCACCTTGGACAGGTCTCTAAAGGCTTCATCTCCCACAAAGCAGATTTCATGGCCGTCCTAAACCAAGATTAAGAGCAGGTCAGTTAGATAAAAGGCAGAGAGAAATTTAAACCCAATTTCATCCTTATTTCCAACATTACTCACAGGATCAGCCAAAATAATCACTTGCACTGTGGCTTTGCCAGGCGTGTCCAAGCTCACCAGGGGTGTCAAAATTTTCTGATTCTCCTTTTTCATCAGTGCTTCAATGCTTGGCAACTTAAACAGAAAACCAACAAAAACCAAACTTGTATCACCACTGCAAGAAAAGATAAACTGTCTGCTCGATATTATTTTGTTCACACGTGAGATATTTTGTTACCACAAGAAGTTGACTTCCCCAGCACTGGGTAAGGAGAGGGGAAAGGGAAGTGTGACTGTTACCTCTTCCTTGGCACAGGAGAAGGCGATCCGGCCAAACGCTGTCCCGTGATCCACTGCTCCTCCAAGAGCCTTCAGCTCCAGCTTACACTGAAACAGGGAGAAAGCAAGCCTGGCTTGTAGGGACACTGTTCTCCATGCTGCATTCACTCCAGCTTTTTCTCCAGGACGTGGATGATTTCAAAATCCCCCCATTCACACGGCTCCCAACCGGCCAGAATTACCAGAGCAAACCACAGCTTTTCTTTTTTTTTAAAAAATGCAGTTGAGTGTATACACAAGCTTCAATTAAAATGCTCAGAATTAAGCACAGTTGCCTTAATTAAGATATTTTTTGCTTTTAAGATTCTGTTCTCATGAAAGAAGAAGTTTCTAGGATGAGTTTTCCAAGGACTGACCTGGTTATCCGCGTAGCCCAGCAAAGCCCTTTGCTTCTCCTCATCCTTCTCATATATTTTCATCCCAAGCAAACCAGACCAGTAGTTAATAGACTTCTGCAGATTTGAGACACCCAGGGTTACCTTCAGCACGGGATCTTGAGAATTGCAACAATTGGGAATCAGTTACAAATGTATCACGGTTTTAAAGGCACAGTTTTACACTCGTGAGAAGTAACAAAGAAATAATAAAACCCTGCTCTGTTTCATAAAATGCCATCAAGGCAAACACACAGCCCTTTCTGATATCCCAGTGGTAAATCTCTCTTGAACACCAGTTAGAGTGAGGGTAAACGTTTCACCTTGCTTGAGCTTCTCCTTGTCCTCCAAGTAGAACTTGTATCCTCCTGGAGCTTCAGTTTCAAAGACACCAGTTGTGACTTCTTTGAGGGGCCACCCCATCTTCTTGGCATTGCTCACAGCCTGGCTGGACACCAGTGTGATGCCCTGGTGAGGACACAGCAGAGACACACAAAATTCATAGGGGGGGATGCAAAGACATCATGTGTTTTCATAGATGAAACACAAGATGTCCATCTGCTGTCAGTAGGTAAATCACAAAAAAACAGGTAATAATAAATAATTCTGTCTTCCTAGAGCAAGATCCCTCTTAGCTAACCATTCCAAGATGGATATGGCAGAAAACACCAGCTGTCCTACACACACAGCAGAGGCAGAGCTCAAGGAAGTGTTTCCTGGACCATAAGTGAGCACAAATCTGCTCTAGTTTCTGCTCTTCCAACTTGGAGACAGCCACAAAAGCAAGAATAAAATGTTTAAGGGACCAAACAGCATAAAAAAAGCAGCTGGTACAACCTATATGACAAACAGACTCCTAATCTTTAAAGTAAATAAACTTAGCTTCAGAAGATTTTGCTGCTAGGAGTGGTACTTACCAGAAAGTCATTGCCCAGGCGATATTCTCCAATGCCATAATTGTAAGTCAGTTCTGCAACAAAGTGATTGTCCTCTGGCCCATAGCCCACCATTGTTTTGCTCCATTTTCCATCATAAGGGCTGGAATATCCGTATTTAATTGTTAGGAGCATTAAAAGTAACCAACGTGAAATGCAAATATTGGTGTTTCAAGGAAGAATTGCATTTCTAGAGTAAAAAAAATGGCAGGTTTGACCCTGGGCAAAAGCAATTCTACCTCATTAACAGCTCACAATTTAAGAGAACAGGCTACTCGTTAACTGAAATTACATCAGCACTTCCTTATTGCTAAGTAGGAAAGGGCACCAGGCTGGAAGATTTCTTTCCTTTCAGAGAAACATGTTCTTATTTCTTCTTTCTTCCATTCTTCTGTCTTTACAAAAGCCTTTGTGGTTACCAGGAGGGACTTTTAACTCAACCTTAGTTAGCCCCATGCCCATGAAAAAAATTAAATGTAGTTCTTGGTAAGTTTAGAAATGATTTAATAAAGTTGAGTATCAGTCTGTGGGTGTAATTCAGCAATATTTCTGTTCAATGTAAGCATGATATCTACACAAAAAGGGGGTCTGTTGGTTCCAAGGGAAGTAATTAAAAAAAAAACAAAACAACAAAATAGCATAATAAATCAAGCAAACCCTTATTTTACTATAGCAGTACATGGCTGGCAGGTGTTTATGAAAACAAGGGATCCAGGGCACTCACCCGTTGCAGGAGGCCTTGCAGCCCTCCTCGAACTCCTCGTGCCTCAGCACCTTTAGAATCAGGAGAGAAAGGGGTCAGCATGGGGACGACGTGGACCCCATCTCCCTTTCCCCTTTCCTATTCTCTTTCCCGCTTTCCCACGCCCCTTTCC